CATCTTGTTCATCTCCATTTTGCCTTTTCAAACCTCCTGCATCTGATGGTATTAGACAGGCACAGAATCCCAAGAGAATTAGTGTGGCGGCTGCAATTATCTCCATTGCATAATTAAAAGCATTGCTGTCCTTGATCACAGGCCACTATGACCCAGAAACAGGGAAGAATATGGTGGCCCTGGTTGCATTGTCTTGGCAGCAGCCTGGATGGCAGGAGAAGTGGGGTGGCTAAGATAAATGAGAGGGTTCAGTAAGGAGTGAGGAGGAATGCTTGCTACCCTTCAACCCAGCCTGGGTCTCCATTTTCCTTGTCCTTTCACTTGCCTGGAAGAAGCTGTTCACAAAGATAAGCTGAGCCACTTTTATGGAAAAGAGGCCCTCTTCTTTCAATTTGGGGTAAAGCTCTTTCTCACCCATGTGTGCATGTGGGGAGACAACAGAAAGGAATCAAAACAGCCAGCGATCAAGAGGGGGGGAGGAAAAATGGGGGGGGGGAATAAGGATATGTTTTTGGAAAATATGTTTTGTTATAACTTTGAATAAAAAATTTTAAAACAAAAAAACAGCCAGCGATCAAAACTGCCCCTGGTTCAGGGATGGTACAAAGAAGAAGTAGGACTGGATGCAAAGGCCATGTTTGCACCATAAAAATTGCCCTGGTTGCCATACGTTCGGGTTTTCCTGGGCATTTTGCCAACTCCTGGGGAAACCTGGGTGTATGGCAGCCCTACATTGAAAGCAGTATAATAGCACTTTAAATAGCGACGTCTTCCTCCAAAAAATTCTGGAAACTGACATTTGTTAAGTGCGTTGAAAATTTCTTGGGAGACACCTGTTTCCTTCCAAAAAGCAACAATTATCAGAGTGATTTAGCAGTCAATTCTGTTTCCCAGGCAACTCTGAGAATTGGAGCTCTGCGACTGGCTGGGTATATCACTAGTTAAAGGTACTGTCTATCATAATTTCACCAGTATATCTACAAGTGACTGACTGAAACTGCTAAGAAAATGAAGCAAACTTCCTATGACAAATGAGCCAGTTGCTTGTGGACGTAATGTGCTTTCCTGCTTTTGAGTTGTGCCAATGCGGCTGGGGGCAGAATGAGAGAAAGGGGGGGGGGAAACGAGAGAGAGAAAAGGAGGAGGCAAAATGTGTGTGTGTTTGTGTGTGCACATGAGGGATCAATGATATGCAGGCATGTGCATGTGTGAATGGAAGGATGAGGGTATGTGAGAAAGGGGAGAACAATTAGATGAATGGGGTGCCTGCTTGTGTATGTCTGAATAAATGGTTGGATGGTGTGTGTGATTAAAAGAGAAAGCATGTGGGGTGGTTCTGGCCCCTCCTACTATCTGCTCCAACCCCTGCCCCTCCTGAACATGTGACCCTCTACAGATCACCCCCAAGAGAATGCAGCCCCATAGCGGGGGAATATTCCCTATCCCTGAGACAGATGAAGTGACTCTGTTTAATAAAATCCTTAAAATAAAATAAAAAAGTGGATTCCATCGTAAGACAGTTACTACAAATCAATTGGCTTTAAATAGCAAGTAGTTGAATTGTGACTGCAGCGGAGGCCAGAGAAAGGGAAAGTATTACTTACAGCTACCCAGGCTCCACGAACAAACAGGCCTCTGATGCTTCAGGAAAAAAGAGAACATTGATTGTCAGCACAACATCATTAATCATGATGCTAAATTGCCTTATTGTGGAATATAGTATATCGGAAGCAGCTGTCAGATGAGCACATCCAAATGCTCCTGATGCACTTATATTGATTTTCAGCGTATTGTCTGTTCCAAATGTAAGATGTAATTAGATAACTGCTGGGTGAAATCCTGGCTGCATTTAAGTCACTGGGAGATTTGTAATCGATTGGCCCGAGATTCTACTCATAGATATCAGTAACTTTCAGCCACAGCCTCATTGACACTAGTCCTGTTGAATAAATGCTTGACCTGCATCTAGTAGTCAAATCCTATGCATGGCAATTAGCCTTATACTGTGCTTAGTGGGGCTTCCTCTCAGGTAAGCATGCATGGGATTGTGGTTTTACCCTTCCTTTGCCTCCTGTGAAGATTAAGTTGTATTTTGTTTTTTGACTAAGGCTGACACCTGAAGGAAGGCGGAATTAAGAGCAAAGGGATCTTGAGAATATGTTTACTCAGAGCCCAACAAATAGGAGCTCTGTGAGCCCTGGAAAATTTGCTCCCTGCCTTGTAGGCCTTTCCCCATCTGACTTGGGAGGACTGGTCTCCTAACTGACTGCAGCTACAAAAACTGAGGCTGCTCTACCCTCTGGGCTGGAGTTTGTTTAGGGGATTGTGTTGCAGGGTTGGTGTGATAGATAGATAGACAGACAGATAGATAGATAGATAGATAGACGATAGATATCTTTATTTTAGATCTAATTGTGATTTATGTGGACATTGTTTAATTTGGTTGTGTATTTTTGACGTTTATTTATTGTTTATGACTACTTTTGTTACGGGACGCGGGTGGCACTGTGGTCTAAACCACAGAGCCTAAGGCTTGCCGATCAGAAGGTCGGTGGTTCGAATCCCTGCGACGGGGTGAGCTCCTGTTGTTTGGTCCCAGCTCCTGCCCACCTAGCAGTTCAAAAGCACGTCAAAGTGCAAGTAGATAAATAGGTGCCGCTCCAGTTGGAAGGTAAACGGTGTTTCCATGCGCTGCTCTGGTTCACCAGAAGCGGCTTAGTCATGCTGGCCACATGACCCGGAAGCTGTACGCCGGCTCCCTCGGCCAGTAAAGCGAGATGAGCGCCGCAACCCCAGAGACGGTCACGACTGGACTTAACAGTCAGGGGTCCCTTTACCTTTTACTTTTGTTACGTTGCAATTCTGCAATTTTTTTCATGCTGTAAGCTGCATTGAGCATGGTTTGAACTATGGAAAGGCAGCATACAAATAACATGTATGTAAGTTAGGAAGAAGGTAGGGAGCTGCTTATATTGAGCCAAGCCATTGATCCATCTAGCTTGGGGTTGCCTGCACAGGCTGGCAGCAGCTCCCCAGGGTTTCAAACAGAGGCCATTTCCACTCCTGACTGAAGATGTTGGGGGCTGAACCTGGGCCCTATGATGTTGTCTCACTGAGCTGTGTCCGTTCCATCGTGAGGCTCCGTGCCATCGCGCTGATTGGGAAAGGGAAAGCGGCCGAGCAGCTGGATGCTAAGAAGCTGAGCAGGGAAAGGTCCCAGGCAGGCAGAGAGCCAAAGAAGGAACCTGAGAGGGCGCGTGAAGGAAACACAGAACTAAGAAAACAAGAGGCCTAAAAGAAGGGGCTGATGGGAAAGCCTCTGCAGAGCAGCCTGGGCAGGGACCAAGTGGGCTGGAGAAGCTCGGAGGGCTGGATATTGTGTTTGAAAAGAGCCAAGGTTCAACAAAGCTGAACAAGCAATGGCAGTGGGGAAGGCTAAAATCCTCTGCTCACTTACATGGGAGCATTTCCCATTGAATTTAATGGGGCTTCTGAGTAGCCATGCACTCTTATGGGTGGAATTTAACTAGCCAAATATTTGGTTGCATGTTGTTGTTTTTAAAGTCTTTTCCAAATGCGAAGATGCTATGTTTTTCTTGTATTTACCTCTAGATAATTTTATTTATGTCATTGCTATTTATTTAGATATTTATATTCTACCTTCAACAAACTGGCAGGGACATACTGTCGAAAATAAATACGGCTTGTATAAACTTTTTTTGTAACCATGCATTAGCACACTTTTTATATACGTATCTTCCCTGGTCCCACCCCCACCCCCCTTTTTCTAAAAAAGAAAATAAAGAAAAAACAAAAAAGCTGCCATGCTGAATGAAATGGATCACAAATGATAGCTAGCAACGCTAATATTTACTTATTTGCTAATTATTTATCAAGATTTCTGCGCTGTTTATGATCTGACTCCAGAGAGGAAGTGGTGACTGCCAAAAGAATTCAAAGGAAATCAAAATTAATCCCTTCTGGTCCTGCAGATGGCAGAGTACAATATGAAGTTAACTTTCTGTGTTAGCAAACAAAAAAGTAATGCAGAGGTGAACAAAGTAGAGGTTATAATAACCCCAATCATTTATAAAACATTAATGAGAGAATTTCCTACTTTCATTTTCAAGAAAAGTGAAGTTTCTAGCCCTCATGGTGAAATATAACTTGAAATATACCGTATTTTTCACCCTATAGGACGCACTTTTTCCCCTCCAAAAATGAAGGGGAAATGTGTGTGCGTCCTATGGGGCGAATGCAGGCTTTCGCTGAAGCCTGGAGAGCGAGAGGGGTCAGTGTGCACCGACCCCTCTCACTCTCCAGGCTTCAGGAAGCTATCCCCCCAGCCCGGCAAGCTCCGGGAGCGATGGCGAAGCTGCACGCAACTTCGCCATCGCTCTGGGACCCGTTCTGGGGGCTGGGGTTGGGGGAAGCTCAGGCTTCCCCTGCCCCCAGCCCCGCAAGCTCCGGGAGCAATGGCGAGGTTGCGCAACCTCGCCTTCGCTCCTGGACCCCCAGCCCCGAGGCTAAAAACGAAGCCAGGACAGCAAGCGGGATCCATCCTGCTCGCTGTCCTGGCTTCTTTGCTCTTTGGGGCTCGGGGGGGGGAATAAATTTCCCCCCCTTTATTTCCCCCCCCCCAAAGAATAAGTGCGTCCTATGGGCCGGTGCGCCCTATAGGGCGAAAAATACGGTAACAAAAATAAGCTCAGAAGAAAATATGTGGCCCTACAAGTGCTGACAATTACAAATCTGTTTAGTCACTCGCCATAATGTTTAAAGTGCATGGATTTTTTGTGTACATCATGCAAAAACAATGTGAAAATACACCTTGGGCAAGTGGGGGCAACTGACTCTACCTGCCATTTGCATGTACATCAAAAGATACAATTTTAGTTGCCATATAACAGCAATGTGCACTCATCAGAACTGTACCTTGTAAAAAACATCCATAAACTATGTCTTCCAGATTAACATGGTCATCGGTGTCATCATTGTTATCAATAAGTTGTCACGACTGGGGAGGACAAAGAAGAATGGCCAATATAAAAACCCACAATAACAAAACTATGCATTGTAAGTTTAATGCAGCTAACTAAATGAGCACAATATAAATAAGAGACTTCCAGGTATCTTTCCTGTTGATACAGAGAAGGGAGAGGAAAGGCCAGCACAGAGGTGTTCACAACTTGGAAAGCGTCTGATGAACAAACACATTAGATCGCTTTCATTAACATCAAAACTTATGGCCTAGAAAGGAGGGTCAGCATTCCAACAGCAACTAGCGCACCATATGAGACAGAAATAATTATTGTCTCCTGAAATATACTCGGAGTCGAGAGTGGATTTCATGCTCTTTATTCAGCTCATAGTGGTGAGGAGGAATGGAAGTTCCCCCACAATATCTGCTTTATATACATTATTTACACAATGGGCTGCACGTGATTGGCTAATTCTGGGATTCTCCTGTAGGCCAATCAGGTTGTGGATTCACTTCCACCTGGAGCTGGATTGGGTGGCTCCTGCGGACCAATCATACTACTGCATTGTTCTAGGACCAATCAGACTGCTGCATTCTGAATCCTATTCAACTCAGTACATAACATCTCCTAATTTGGATAATTCCTGGTTGTAGAACACAGCGGGCATATTATGAGAGCCAGTTTCTAGTACCACCGTCTACATCTGGCACGAAGAACCTATGGCCCTCCAAAGGTTGTTAGACTCCAGCTCCAGCAAGCATGGCCAGTGGTCAGAGAGGGTGAGAGTTGTAGCCCAGTGACATCTGGAGGTCTGAAGGTTCCTCCGTTGCTGTTCTGCATGTCCTGGTTTTGGAACCCTGGTCTGTTACTGAGCAGTTTCCTGATGTCTCAGAGACCTTGTCCGTTTTATCACTGGACACACTGGTGAGATTCTGCTGCATAAGATGGTGCATCATAATTCACTTTATTTAAAATCATTTGTGCCCTGTTCTTCCTCCATAATGAGATCAGAGCAACATGCAATAAAGTGAACAGTAAAGCAGCATAAAACAGCAGACAAAACTTGCATCAGCCAAAATGTTGAGGAGCATTCAAAAATGTTAACTGTGTTCCTAAATGCAGACATTGGAGGAGCCATGAAGGGCTGGCATCTAGTCCCAGTAATCATAAGCAGCAAGGGCTTGGTGATAATAATAATAATGTAGTAGTAGTAATAATAATAATAATAATAATAATAATAAACCTTTTACTAGATAGCACAGGAATTTGAGGCACACATCCCAAATATTTGAAACAAATATGAAAATTTCAAATAATGACCCCAACTCTAAAATAACATGGTGCACAAACACTTTTTTACATATATCCCATTGATAGCAGCAAGTAGGATTGCCAATTACTGCCAGGATCTGTAGGCTATTAACATATCTGTCTGTTGTCTATATAATACCAACTTTGCACTCAGAGACAACACAGTGTTTACAATTTAACAGTCTAAGAGAGGGGCAGGTGGTGGTGGTGGTGGCTGAACCATTTTCAGCCTAGGGGCCACATTACCTTGCGGACAAACTTCTGGAGGGCGGGCCAAAGGCCAAAGTGGCTATAGCTAGAGGCAAAAGTAGGCAGAGCAACAGATGCGACTTTTACTACCTTAGTGGAAGAGGCTGCCTTCCAGCCACGCTGAAGTAAGAGATTTGTTTTTGCACACAACTACATGCACCTTCCATCTGACAAGCAGGAGACGTTACTACCAATGATACTGGTCTTCAGCTGCTGGGACCACTGTTGCATTTACAGCTGACTTAGGCTGGGTCAGAACAGCAGCATCCTTATGTTGTTGTTATTATTTTGAAGTGGGTCCCTAAGTGCTGCTCTTTTCGGTGGGGTTTATTCCCTCATAAGCATGTTCAGAACTGCAGCCTTAAGCTGCTTTAAAGAATGCTGAGCACTATTAGGTGTCAATAATTCATCAGCGCTGCCAACATCTGAATGTGCCTTGTTTCAGCAGGCAGGGAGTTGTGCTGAAAACATTATATTAACTTGCCTTTTAGTTCACCGGTGTCACTTGAGAGGCCTAGTCATTGTGTGATTGCTGATTGCACTTCTGGTGCGCAGCTTGCGGCTTTTTAATTCAAAGCCTGTAGCATATTGACATAGAACTGGTGCAGAGTGGTAATTAATCATTAATATATTCCTTGTATGAATACCACACATTATGCCTGGTTCTTTAATCTGTGCCAGTTAAAAACACACATTTAATCTTTGTACATTGCAATCTGCATAGCCAAACAATGCTGGTGCGAGGATGGCGAGCCCAACATGAAGGCCCATTTCTGTTCATTAAATACACTAATCCACACAGCTGGGCACTTTATTGTTCAACAGACAGATGAGTCACTCAGACATGCTGAACAATGTTTGCTGCTGCCTCACTCTCAACCTGCAAAATCTCCATCAGGGTGGGGAACCTCTCACACTCTGGATGTGGTTGGGCTGTAGCTCCCAGAGTCCAACAACTGGAAAACAGGTTCCCTATCTCTGTTCCCCATAAGTTACAGACATACCAAAGATTTAAAACCTGTGACTCCCACCCCACCCAAATAATAGTTTGTTAATAATAATAATAATAATAATAATAATAATAATAATTTATTATTTCTACCCTGCCCATCTCGCTGGGTTTCCCCAGCCACTCTGGGCGGCTTTCAACAGAACATTAAAAACAGAATGAAACTTCAAACATTAAAAACTTCCCTAAACAGGGCTGACTTCAGATGTCTTCTAAAAGTCGGATAGTTGTTTATTCTCTTGACATCTGATGGGAGGGCATTCCACAGGGCGGGCACCACTACTGAGAAGGCCCTCTGCCTGTTAAGGGTGCTGGAAATTGCAGCCCTGTGATGGGTAAACTACAGTTCGCGGGATTACTTGTGGGGGAAACACATGCTTTAAATATATGGTGTGTACGCAGTCTTATATGACTCAACGTAGAAGCTGAGCAAAAACTTACAGAGTTAAGGGCATTGCTGTTAAGGGTGTAAACTTGATCAGGAGGTGAGAGCAGGAAGAATGGCCAGAATGGAACCAGTAAGTTTACACCATCCTTTTTTAAAAAAATACATCATCCGTAGATGTTGCTGCAGTAACTTCTCCTACCTGCTCTTTCCACCTATAGTAGCAAGTAGAACTGCAGGTTTTCCATGCACCAGGCAAAGGTTGCCCCTGTTGAATTTCTTTCTGTCACACAGCAGAACTTCTGCCACAGGAACTCGGGGAGAAACGTAAATTGGGCTTAATAGGTTGTTTATGCTGGAGGCTTCCTACAAACTCAAAAGGGGCAATCAGTAGTCAGCGTAATTTGGTGTATGTTTTAATAGGCTCAGGGTCCAGATGCAATCAAATCATAGCTGAAAGCTATAAATAAGCAGGATGCCGGAGGAAAGAGTTAGCAACAGGTTCATTTTCAGTAGAATATATTTTCATCTGAATGTGATTTTTTAGAAGGGACATGCTCTAAGGCTTTTTACCTGGCCACTCTGTTTGAAGTAGATATGGAGTGCGTGAAATTTGCTGATGTTAATGACTAGCCCCTCCTACCTCTGGAGATAGGATTTGGCTTCTCAAAGCAGGGGTGATCAAATATAACGTATATTAATGTCCCTATGAAAACTTCAGAATCAGAAACAGGGATGTTGACAAAGCACTACTTCTGTATGTGTGAATGTATGCATGTTGAGCCAAGGGTCCCTACAGACAAATAATACAGGCTTTTTGCTTAACTCTGTACTAACTATAGCACTGGTCTTCAACTGGTGGATTGGGACCCACAAATCAGCCATGCCCTACTCTTAGGTGAGTGCCACGGCTAAGTTGTTTGGTGTCATTGTTTTTTAAGGGTTTTTTTTTTACAAGAAAAATGGAAATAATTATTGCCAGGGTTAGTGAAAGGACCCAGGATTATTCAATTACAAGCTCTGCTTTCCAAAGTATTTCTATAACTGGTTTCCTTTTGCATCAGTTTACCTTGGAAGAAGAAAGATGGACAGTGGCAGGGCAAAATCAAGCAGGTCAGATGTTGCAAGTCTGAACTGAAATGGGCTATAGCTTCAAAAATACTATAGGGCTGTTTGGCCATGAGTCCTAAACACAAATATGACTGCTAGATGGCTAGAGAGGGTTGCTTTGCTTTGCTTCTGTTGTTGCCTTAATCAGAAGTGGTTTGTGGTATCCCAGGGGGGCAGTTCTGGTGGTGAATCCCTGCAGCAAAATGTCGAGGAATTACCTGTTCCTGTTTGTCTGGTGCCTCTCTCAGATAATGCTGGACTGCAATTCCCATCAGTTAGCATGACCTCTGGGTCAGGATTGGAATCTGACAACACCTGGAGGGTCACGGGTTAGCCATCTCTGGTCTAGGGGAATTGTGGGCTGCTTCCTTCTGGCAAAGATGCTGGGGAGGTAGAGCTGCAAAAGCTAGGCTTGGTTTCTGTTTGCAAGAAACCAGTGAACAGAGACCTCCAAGCCTCATTAAAGCTACATTATGAGAGGGATATCAGATTTACCTGAAAATTGCAGGTGCCTGAGGCGAGAAGGGAAAAATCTCTTGAGGAATGTGGCACCTGCGTTCTTCCAATATACTTTTCTGAGGTGAATTGGCTTACGTTGCTGCTGTGAAAGAGAGAAAGGAGTGTGTGTGGAAAAAGTGGAGGTTTAATTTAATCCCTTCCTTTTGCCTGAGGATTTGGAAGTTGTTGTAGGATTCCGAACTGATAATTGGGCAACAGATAGAAGGGAAAGACCTTTTGGGGCTACAGACAGAGAATGTGTAGGTCTTATGTTGCTTTGTATAGCCAAACTCTGACAGGATCAGGAATTCAAGGCCAGGGAGGAAGAGGTGAGGCTTAAATTCATTACTGTAGAAGACGCGTGTGATCCTGAGCACAGTTACTAGGAGGATAAGTGCCCCAGGAACAGCTTCGACTAGATGGCTAAACCAGGCGAGGGTAGCTGATGGATCCTAAACCCTCTGAGTTAGAGACTTCCCTTGCATGCAAAGACAGGCTCTGGCAGACTGAGTGGGTGAGACCCATAGTAGGTCCAACGGCCAAAAGGCAGTTTCTGCATGTGCTGTAGAGGGAAATTATGGGGCAGATGGGGCTCATCAACCTGGGAAGGTAGCACTTCTAGGAGAAGGAAAACTCTGATCCTAAACCTCCACTGCTTTGTGGGATATCTTCAGGAGAAGAAAAGGCTACACAGATCTGGAACGGAATCCCTAAGATGATTGGATGGCGCCTTGTACGCCTCTTTCTGGCAACCCCTGTAGCTAAGCTGGTGCCAAACATATTTCTCTGTTTTCCTTTGGGCCATATCAGCGAGGCTGAGGAGCAGGGGTCTTGTCATCTTGGCAGCCCAGGACCTCCATACACACTGCCCGGGCTTGCTACCCAGAGGCACTTCAGTGCTGCTAAAACAGTGGTTTGACTTCACCTTCAGAAGTGCACTCCATTGTCTCTTGAGGCAGACAGATGCCAGCAATTAATCTACTGCAGCAAAAAGGCATGCTAAATGTATTGTGTTGCAAACTTTTGTGGGCTAGTCCATCATATGTATGAAGTGCTATCCTCTATGTATGGGCCTTGAACATGGGTGGGGAATCTCTGGCCTGCCAGGCTGTTTTCCCCAAACCATGTCCACATGCCCTCACTTCCTTGGAAGGATGTCAATATTCAAAGTTAATCATCCCTACTCCCCCCCACCCCCACCCCCGGCCCAACAGCCAGGGCTTGTCAGCAGGCAAAAGATAGTCTGACAATTCCATTGGAGGTGAAACATAAGCAAAATAAGCAGTGACCATTCATAATACCAGTAATTGGTGACCACAATATCTTATAATAGCTGAGTAAATGTAAACACTTGTAGTAGGACAGGAAACCATTGTCTGTACTCTGGCCCAAAATAATAGCCTATTTAGTTACTAGTTCCATTACAACTATTTCATGCTGGAATCTATTTTGAATTTCCTCTGAATAGCAATTTCCAGGTCAGCAGCAGAGTATGTAGACTGAAATGTTCCTCTACTGGTTTCTGGATGCTGACACCCTTTCTGATATCAGCTCCCTAACCTAACAGGTTTTTGTCCTTACATCTAACCTCGCCTTGAACAATTAATTTTCTTGTACACATGTGTGCGGAGGAGGAGGATAACACTCCATACATCTGATGAAGTGGACCACAAAAGCTTATGCCATCATTTCTTTTAAGCTGCTGAAAGGCTCCTTTTGCTGATCTCCGCAGTCCTTCTACATCTGAAAAGGGGTTGGAAAGATCGTGGAAGTCCACACATGTATCAACTATGCACAGTGGTGTGTGAAGAGTTCTGGCCTCCTGTGACACATACACCCATCCAATTTTCATCATATGAAATGGTGGAAGTCTTCCCTCTGGTCCACTTTACCCCATGACTTCCATAATCAGAATTGCATGGACTGGCCTTGAGATAGGGTGGCTACTTAACATCCCGCCCCCCATATTGGGACACTGATTTTCTTTTTTTTTTAATTGCATGCAGACTTAGGTACACATGTATGTACTTATATATGCACATTTAGAAATTATTTTTTTCTAATTAAAATAGAAATGCATCTCCCCATAGTAGGGCAGACTGTGGCCAGGAGACCTGTGTGCCTGCTCAGTTTTGCTCCCAGGTGCTGTTGGACTTGAAGGCCCCATCCTCTCTTTTCTTTCTTAGGGATCTTTTTCTTTAAACCTCAAGTCTTCAAGCCAGACTTGGCCTGGGTGGACAGCCTTTCAAACAAAGGGCCATTGTCTGTCAAATAAAGACACACACTCGCTCCACCTTGAGAGTACAGTGGTACCTCGGTTTATGAACTTAATCTGTTCCTGAAGTCCGTTCTTAAACTGAGGAGCGCTTTCCCTAATGAGGCCTCCCGCTGCCGGTGCCCTTCCACTGTTCGGATTCTGTTCTTAGACCGAGGTAAAGTTTGCAAACCGGGACACTACTTCCAGTTTTGCGGAGTTCGTAAACCAAATCGTTCATAAACAGGACTGTTCTTAAACCGAGGTACCATTGTACAGTGGTATCTCGGGTTACATACGCTTCAGGTTACAGATGCTACAGGTTACAAACGCCGCTAACCCAGAAATATTACCTCGGGTTAAGAACTTTGCTTCAGGATGAGAACAGAAATCGTGCGGCGGCAGCGGGAGGCCCCATTAGCTAAAGTGGTGCTTCAGGTTAAGAACAGTTTCAGATTAAGAAGAGACCTCCAGAACGAATTAAGTTCTTAACCCGAGGTACCACTGTATATGAAAGCACCTCAGGAGCTTGTTCAAGTGAAGCTGGTGTGCACATGGTCTGGAGTCATTAATCCAGAGCAAAAAAATAAAATTAAAATAAAAATCGCCTCTCTATACACTGGGCCCGGGGGAATTGTGCAGATTTTCCGAGTGTCAAGACCCAACGAGGGTCTGGCCTTATATAGCCTCTGGAGAGATTTGTTTTTGTAGCCGGGAGTGAGGAGGGAACCCAGAGGCGAGGCCTGCTGTGCCAATAATGTCCTCTGCCAGCCGTTTGCCTGCGGGGACTTTGGGCGGCAACCGCGTCCCAGTGGACCATCCCTGCTGTTTTCCTAGCGCGGAGGCGCAGGAACTGCGTGCAGAGGGGGCAAGTGGAGAGGAGAGAGCAGGAACTTCGCTCTTCCTCCGCTGTGTGGTGGTGCCTAGCCAAGCTCGGGTTGGGAGGGGAGAGAGTCCTATTGGTTAGTTTAATTCCGGGGAGTTTGCACAAGCCGCGCCTGGGCTGTTTCGGCCTGGAAACAGATTGACTAGAGACCATGCGTGGTGTGCAGCAAACAATGGGAGGGTGTGTTGTTGCGGCTTTGCTTTATTATTATTATTATTATTATTTAGAAAAAAAACTTCCCCCATTCCCCCCTCCCGCATCCCAGGAAGGCCAGCGGCTTGGGAAACTCAGGCATTGTGCTGGCAGAAGGCAGCAAAACCGTCCTCTCTGCTCTCTCCCCGCACCCAAAAGCAGCATCAGGGGAACGCAGCGCCCAGCTGGCAGCCAGACATGGGTGCAGCTGGCACCAGCGCGATTGCCTGAGGCTGTGGGACACTGTAATAGAGTCATTTTTTTAAAAAGTGCATTGGAGCGAGGGGAGGGGGGTTGTTCATTTTTCCTCACTGAAAATAAATAAACCAATTTGCTAGCGTCGTAGGTGTCTCAGAACGACCAGCGCCAGCTTTTCCAACGATTGTATAGCTGTGTGGACAACCTCCAGAAGCGCGCGCTTTGCTTCTGTTTGAAAAAAGGGATAACATTAGGCGCTGCCATGCCGCCAGAGCTGGTTCTGGAGAGCGAGGGCTTATTCCAGGATACGATTTCCTAGGAAGATGTCTGCATTCAAAATAAATGGTCCCTGTTTCAACCCTGCAACGCCAGGCGCGCCCTCCGCCGAAAAGCAGCCCCAAAGGAACAGTTCTAGAAAGTAAAAGCACGCGCGGCATGTGGGAAGCAAGCCTGGGAAGGGAGAGAGCAGCTTGCACGGGAGGAAAGACAGGTTTTCTTCTTCGCACCTCGATTTGTCCTGGAAAGCCCAAATGCCTGGGCTCTTTTCCTCCTTGGCGCCTCAGGTTGCTGGCTGGGCTCGACCGCCTCAAATGCCTGCAAATCGTATGCACACCAGGCAGACTTCCGTCACATGCATCGTAGGATCGGGCAGAAAAAAGTTCTGCAATTCCTGGGGCTTGTTTATAAGCGATCATCCGGTCCCCTTGACAGCATCCACTAGATCCTGTTTTCTCTCTCGGTGGCTGGAAGGAAAAACCGCCGCTGTAGGGAGGGGACAGGGATCTTTCGCCCTCCCGCCCCGCTTCGTTTCCCCGGCCAACTTTCTCCCTCTCTTCACTTTTCCTGTGTGTGTGTCTATACCGAGGAGGCGGAGGCGGCCAGCGCTTCCCTTCTCCTCCGCCCTCTCCTCCCTTGTGTCTGGAGCTTTGGATAGGAGGAAGAGGAAGATGACGAGCCAGTGCAATTAGCCTAACAAGGGGCGGGTGGCGGCGGCGGCAGCAGCAGGAGGCGCGGCGGCGGCGGCTTTTTCCCGGGCCACTGACACATCTTCCTCTTCTCCTCGCCGGGGCGATGAAGGGGGACTTTTCGGAGTTAAGCTGGAAAAGTCCGGCGGGATCTTCTCCCCCCGCCTCCCGCGCAGCTCCTTGAAAAGTGGGAGGAATCCCTTCCTTCCCTCCCTCCCTCCCCAAAGACCCCACCGTGGAGACGGGGCTTGGCTGGGATCTGTGTACACATTCCTCTTTTTTTGTTGCCGTTCCCCCACCAAGAGGCGGATATATCTATACTTCTATATGGTTGGTGGTTTTTTTTTTGCTCGTCTTAAAAGGGAGAGGCTTTGCTCTCTTCGGTGCATGTGGAAACTGTTCCCCGCTCTTCTTTTCTCCGCGCTCCCCATATATATTTTTTTAATTTTATTCTGATGCGTCGTCCCCCCTCCAATGTGGACTCCGGCGGATCTGTGCTTCCTTTGTAATTGGGAAATGAAATAATGGCGACCCGTCGGGCAGCGGGGCCACCCGGGGGAGATGGAGACACCCAGCCGCTCGAAGTCGCCAGGAGCAGCAGCCAGGTAGGCAGGGGGCGAAGAAGGAGAAGCCGAGCGGGGGAAGCAAGGGCGGGTCCCGAGTCCGGCCCGAGCGGCGTTGGCTGGGTCGGGGGGCGGCGGAGGGAGAGGCGAGAAGGAGCGAGCGCTGCTCCCGTGTTTATGAGCTGGAGCAGCCAGCCAGGGGCGGTAGCCGCCGCGCGCGGGGAATGGCTTGGATTGGAGCGGCTTTAATGGCCGCCCCATCCCTGTTGCCTGCCTGCCTCCCTCTTCCCTTCCTGCCCGCCCGTCCCGGAGTTGCCGGGAGTTGGACGCTAGGAGTTGGCGGCCGCCCCCGACCCTCGAGCGAAGCGAAGGGAAGGGAAGGGAAGGGGGGGCAGGGAAGGGGGCGGGAAAAAGAGAAAGTTTGGAGCTGCCGCCTCTCACCCCCCCCCCCCGCACAATGTTTAGGGTGGGATTTGTTCCCGCGTCTTCCATCGCCCCCAACCTGGCCGTGGTGTGAAGAGAAAGAAGCCCTCTTTTCTTCCTTTCTCTTCCTCTCCTCACCCCCTCCCAGCCCGTCCCCATTTACGACTTTGGGGAGTCTCCTTCGCCGCACCTCCTCACTGAAAAGACTGTTGTTTTCCATAGAGAGCCAATTGCTCGAGATCTTTGCTGTCTTTTGAAAAATCCCTTTGGTAACAACAGCCCCTAATCTTTCCCTACTTCTGCCCCCCCTTCCCTTTGTCCCATTGATCTGAGGGGGGGAGAGAGAGGGCGGCGCAGTCTTCGTGTGTATGCATATATATGTGTGTGTGTGTATTTTAAGACCCTGAATGACACGCTTCCATTTCCCCCTCCTGGTGTGTGTGTGTGTACATATTTCGCTTTTACAGGCCAGCTCCAGCAGATTCCAGTGTGTAGGGGCTTTATAGACAGTGTTCCTCTTCTCTCTGCTCCCCTGTCCAGAGTTGTTGCTGGGATATTCCTATGTGCATCTTTAATTTGGAAAGTTGTATATTTTTAATTCCTTAACGATGGCACTGCACGTTCGAGACTAATAGCTTGTCCTTAGAAAGGCCCCTGTTTCAACCCTTCATCCCAGGCTCCATATTAATAGTACTAATAGCATTAAATCTCCGCCAGCGCTGTGTTTGATCTGCACTACACATCAAAGGTGACTCCTCTTATTCAAATTTTTATGAGGGTTTCCGATGGACTGAGGCATGCTGGAGTATCGTGCTGTGTCTGTGTTTATATGGAGCATATGGTATGTGAAAGTTTCATGCCCCATGCGTGTAAGTCCTTGTGAGGTGGAAGTGTCCTCTGTGTCATTTTCTTATGCTATATATACCCTTGCTTAATATATAAGTGAATTGTAGCTACATTGCTGTCAATACCCTTTTTGAGAAATGGAATTTGACACTTTTTAAAAATAGTGTTTATTTAGGAGGGGAGCCTTTAATCTACTGTTCTGTCCTTGGCTTACCCGAGTGCTTTGATATAACAGTGCCACGTGGTATTGTAAGATCAATCCTCTGTTAAGTGTGCCTTCTAATATATCTGTACAGCTGGATAAGTTCTGAGTAGAAAAACTTGGTGGAGAACTGTAACAGGTTATTGTTTGTGGCTTAGCATTCGGTGATCTTTGCAAATGATAGCAAGAGATAGATTCTACCCCTCTCCCCTAATCGTTTGTGTGTGTGTGTGTGTGTGAGAGAGAGAGAGAGAGAGAGAGAGAACATTAAAGCAGAGCAGTGAATGAAGAGAAACAGCTACGATTGATAATTATTTCTCAGTAGTTCGTGCACTGTATAGAAGATGTGGGATCCTGGGCTCTCTGAGACCATTCCTATAATCTGCCTATCATTAGCATGGTAAACCATAATGAATCCCTTCGAGTTGAGGCATATAAAATAGGTAAGATGATACCTTTTCATTGAACCAGCTCCTGTTTATGAGTGTATACAAGCGGTACAGTTCATAGGGACACTTTAGGTTGTTGAGAGCAGTATGGCTGTCTTTCCACCCTGGCAGAGTTTTTATATCCTAAATAAAGATTGCATTTCATTAACAAAAACAGCATTTCCTGTTCTGTGTACCTCATTCTATGGCACCAATAGAGCAGTACATCTTTCTACCAAACTCAGTTGGAGCTGGACCCTCACAGTGGAGCTGGCTGTTTAGTTGGTTCTTCAAAATGAGCAATTCCAAGGTGGACTTACTGGACTTTTTTATTTTCATTTTTTTGGGGGGGGGATATCAATTTTAATGCAGCTTTCTTTAGCAGTACCTCGGTTTAAAACTGGAATCGCTTACTGTAGGGTGGGTTTAACCGGAGAACACTGGGAATGGTGTATAGTTTTCAACAGATATGGAGACCTTTCAGTGCTTTTATGGTCAAGTTTAACATGGTGTGTGAATTGATCTTTGAAGTCATATTTTATGGCATAGGTGACAGCACAGTTTTTGGAACACAGTTTGGATGAATGAACCTTAGCACCTCTGTACGCTGAATAGTCATGACATTTACAGAGTAGGCATACAATATACTTCTGTCGAATTGCAACTCTACTGGAATATTTTCTTATTTAAGTAAAATTTAATCATGCTTTCTGGTGGCCAGACATAGGCTTGCACACTCCTCCTTCCCTTCCCCCTTCTCTTTGGGGTTAATGCTAACTATGGTTAAGCATTGTGTCTGAACCTCCATAAATCTGGTTACTGTTAAGCATAGTTTGAAACTAGCTTCTAATTCTTGTTTCAGTCCCTTAATTTAGAGGTCAACTGCTTTTGCTGGTTCTGTCATGTAATAACTGAACCACTGGTAATACTAACTGAAATAGGAAGAGTGGAAAATTTCTGGCGAAGGATGCCTGTGAGCCAAAGGGGGGATGCTCTTGATTGCCCCGCCACGGTTTGGTGATTAGGCATCATGATGCGTGAACTAGTCCAGTGCTGACAATAATACATTTTGGCAAATACTATAGTTTGCTGCTGTTGCATCTTAGAGTTTCTTGTTAAATATAAGAACAGAAGACAAGTATATTGTGTACACTTGCTTTTCACTATATGCCACTCTCGAGTTTATACACACTTGTCCATGTTCCTCTCTGTGCAGGGCAAGGGATCTCCTCTTCATCTTGTTTCATCCCACAGTGAGTGGGAGAAAGGAAAAGGGACCAAGTCTGAGGCCTTCTGAAATCTCTTCTAACAAATTTCCTAGGAACAGTGAACCGGACCAGGGCTTGACAGACTTAAAAGTGGGAGTCTGAATACACTGTCCTGCTTTGCAGGGCATGCTAAGCCAAACCAATTTAAGCAAGACCATGCACACGCGCAGACTCCTAGAGAGGAGCTTGCAGCCACTTCCACCATCCCCGTTCTTTTTAGCCCTTGTGCTGTGCCAAACCACAATTTGCTTGAGTGTGTGTTGTCCAAACTGGGACACATGATTAAACTCACCCCTCACTAAGCATGAGCTATAGTTAAGGACTTAGTTTTGCATGCACGATATCCACAAGGGCCAAGAAGGAGCAGAGTGGCTACAATACATTGTGTGGTCTCACTAAGGCAAGGTTTGGCTTAGTGTGTAGTGCAAACCAGCTCACTCTCTCCTCATGGGTGCCTTTCACATGTTCCTCTTGAGCAACTTCACAGATAGGAGCATGGCTTTGTCTGGCATGGTGTGAGTGTTTTTTTCTGGAAAGCTGAGAATTCTGGGATATCCTCACATTTTATCATTGGATGTTACATTTGTATGTGTATGAATCAGATGTGAAAACAATCTAGAACAACTTCAGAACAATCCCACATACTGTGCAATGTTTTGGCATTATATAATGCAATTCCATTCACAATGTGGTAATCTCTAACATACTATGGAGCAACAGATGGAGTTTCATTTATGAATATAATTAGCCATGCAGTCGAAAGTATATGGATAACTACTATAATGTATGTGTTATACTTGTCTTTAAACTCAGTTTCATGGCTTTATTGCTGGTGATGTGATGACAGAAGACGTTAATAGTCTTTAAAAATGGATGCTGTGACTCATTCAAACTCAGGAGGTGTTTACATTAAATTCTTAATTACAGGAGGACTAATTAGTACTGAAACTATTCATGTACCAACTTCAGCACCATTTCATTTCTGTGCGGCTCACTATTCATGCAGACCTAATTGGTCTTGGTTTTCCATCCCCTCCCATCCCAAACACCACTGAGTGATGGAGAGTTAATCCATATCTCTTCCTCCACAATACAGTTGAGATAAAATTCTAGCCATATACCTGCACGTTGGCTGGTGGAATTGATTAGTTCTCTTACTGCTGGGCTTTTTCGGGGGGCGGGGCGGGGGGAGGACTCCCTTGGAAGCTGCTGTTGGATAGTGTAGAATGTTTTTGCAAATGTTGACTGATTCACATGGCTACTTTTGTGGTGGTGGTGTGGTGCT